TTTTTATTGGAAGCTTGCATTTTTATGGATTTAATATTATTATTACGGTAAAAATTAAATATTATTTAATTTCTTTTATTGTATAAGTTTGCAAGTATTTTGCAAGCATTTTGCACAGACATGTTTATACAATACTTTCGCAATTATTCTTTTAAATTGAATTTTAAATTGAATTATTTAAGCTTCATTTTTTGTGTTGGAAGTATGAGTCCACAAATGTATAATGGTCTTGTGAGTACCCTTTAATACTGTGAAATTTATTTAAATTTTCTGAATCTCAAATTTCCGAATTTGTATATTGCAAAATTCCTAAAATTCCAAACTCCTCAAATTGCAAAATTCTCAAATTTCAAACTCACCAAATTCCAAATTTCCTAAAATTCCAAATTCCCCAAATTCCAAACTCCTCAAATTCCAAAATTCTCAAATTTCAAACTCTCCAAGTTCCAAACTCCCCAAATTCCAATTTTCCCAAAATTCCAAATTCCTCAAATACCAAAATCCCCAAATTCCAAAATTCTCAAATTCCAAACTCCACAAATTCCGAACTCCTCAAATTCCAAAATTCTCAAATTTCAAACTCCCCAAATTCCAAATTCCTCAAATTCCAAACTCCCCAAATTCCAAATTCCCCAAAATTCCAAATTCCCCAAAATTCCAAATTCCCCAAATCCCATACTCCTCAAATTCCAAAATTCTGAAATTCCAAACTCGCCCAAATTTCCAAATTCCCAAATTCTTAAATTTCGAAAATCCCAATATCCTAAAACCCCAAAGCCCCAAAACCCCAAAACCCCAAAATTCCCAATACTCCAAAATTACAAAACCTCAAAATTCAAAAAATTCCTAAAACTCCAAAACCCCAAAATTCTCCAGACGCCAAAATCTCAAAAAGTAGAATTATTACCCCCTTCAACATATTTATACCGTTTCCCATAGTCCACCATCAAAAAACTATTCCAAAACCACATAAATTCATTAAACCCCAGATCCCAAGATGTACCGACTGTAATATAAAGCAAACATCGACAAAAATTTTTCCCGTACACGCGGCTGTGTAACCTACATCCACAATTTAGCAGAAAATTTCGACGACGTCGTGTCCGTACGCCGTGAAATCCATTTAAGAAACTTCCCCCGCTGGGTGGATATTACAATGGCGATATGCTTCGACTATTTCATATTCACGAACTTCGTGTAACTCCATCTTGCTTCAATTTAAATTCTCTTTTCAACGATGAATCCCTGGAAGCGTCTTATCTGATATAGCATCGCAGGTGCAATCTCCATCGTGTTCGCCTAGAGACACGTTTCGGGTAATACCAACAAAACAGTTTCCTTTAATATGAAATACTTCTATCTGGTCCACACTTGGCCAACTTCCACCGAACAATTTTTGTTAATCAAACTTTTATTGGAAGGGAAGCCATGTTGGTGTAGGATCAATTTTTTAAACCTTGGACACGGTGTGACGTGATAGGTGTGATGAAAATCAATAACTATAGGGTATATAACAAATATTTCTTTTGGATTGTGTGCTTTCAGGTGTATCATTCTTGTGAGACGAAAATTGTAGTTATGGAACTTATAGTTTTTTCTCTGTTTTAAATTGTTGAGATCTCATGGGCTGAGTGGTGTTTAAGGGAGACTGTAGAATTTGATGGAAAATTTCAGGCTAAAGAATTTGATAATTTAGGAATTTTAGAAGAGATAAACCCTCAAATTTCCTGGGTCTCAAAATTGCAAATTTCTAAATTTTCTAGTGACTAAATTTCTGAATTCTTAAGTTCCTAAATTGCCATGTTTCCGAATTCCTAAATCCCCAAATTCCCAAATCCCCAATTCCAAAATCCCCAAATTCCAAATTCCGAATTCCAAAATTTCCAAATTCCAAAATCCCCAAATTCCAAATTTCCCAATTCCAAAATTTCCAAATTCCAAAATCCCCAAATTCCAAAATCTCCAATTCCAAAATCCCCAAATTCAAAAATCTCCAATTCAAAAATCCTCAAATTCCAAAATCTCCAATTCCAAAATCCCCAAATTCAAAAATCCCCAAATTCCAAAATCTCCAATTCCAAAATCCCCAAATTCCAAAATCTCCAATTCCAAAATCCCCAAATTCCAAAATCTCCAATTCCAAAATCCCCAAATTCCAAAATCTCCAATTCCAAAATCCCCAAATTCCAAAATCTCCAATTCCAAAATCCCCAAATTCCAAAATCCCCAAATTCCAAAATTCCCCAATTCCAAACTCCCCCAATTCCAAATTTCCCAATTCCAAAATCCCCCAATTTCAAAATCCCCAATTCCAAAATCCCCAAAATTCCAAAATCTCCAATTCAAAAATCCCCAAATTCCAAAATCTCCAATTCCAAAATCCCCAAATTCCAAAATCTCCAATTCCAAAATCCCCAAATTCAAAAATCTCCAATTCAAAAATCCTCAAATTCCAAAATCTCCAATTCCAAAATCCCCAAATTCAAAAATCTCCAATTCAAAAATCCTCAAATTCCAAAATCTCCAAATTCCAAAATCTCCAATTCCAAAATCCCCAAATTCCAAAATCTCCAAATTCCCAAAATCCCCAAATTCCCAAATCCCCAAATTCCAAAATTCTCCAACTCCCAGATTCTCAAACTTTCCAGCAGTACATAAAACCCTTATATAACCCGTTCCCACACTTGTTTCCTCCTTCTACATCTGCACGGCCATATATCGAGACCCTACCTTGCGTTTTACAGAACGTTAATTATGAAACCACCACAATGACTTCCACCTCTTCATACCCGAGGAAGATGTCATTTATATTTCCACCTCTAAACTTTCCGTTGGAAAAAAAGCAAGTTCAGCGGCAAACCAAACATGAACGTTTGTTATCCTCGTAACGTTAATTACGTGTAATTTTCCATCCTCCCTTTCCCTCTCATCTTCACATAATTTTTTTGTCTGTAACTCGTTTCTTCCCTCAAATGCAGCTACATACTGGTAAAAAAAACTATGTGGCAGTGAAGCGTACCTCGCGAGGACTCGTATACATACTAAGTGGAATACCATACTCAACTCAGCTTCTCTCAAAGAGCTCAAACTTAAAGCTGTTCCCAAAGTAGAACTCGTTGTCGCTCTACTGCCTTCTTCAAAGCACTCACGCAAGTAAACTGCACCGCTATCGTCTCTTTTCCAAACTTCGTAATATAACTCGTCTTAATAAAGATGGTACGTGTTTGACTAATACGTGGGAATGATATCACGACACGTGGTCGGGTAAGAATTCTATCTTCCATGAATTTCGTGTGACGTAATTGAAAACTTAAATTCTTTGCTGTCGGTGGCTCACAGTCATTCGATTTGATACAAGTTTGCATAATTTATAGCATTATTGCATAAATTTATAGTGTCATACATATGATGTGAAAATTAATAAGAAAAGAATAAGAACAAAAAATTCATCAGTGTTCAACTAAAAAGTTTAAGAGCTATTTACCAACAGCAAAACCTTCGAGTACAAAGAGCTAATATTTTTATTTAATAAATATCAAGTTTTTAACCCGGCGCAAATTAAATCCTCCACAAAAATAATTTCTTCATTCTCCTACATATTTTTGTCAAAATCAGTGCGTGAATATTCAGCTACGATCTACAAGCACGTTTGAAATATTGCAACAAAAGAGGGGTTCAATTATGTTCATTATAAATTCAAGGAAGCATTTCCGTTGCAAGAGAACAAAGCACACGAATAATTAGGGTAAATCGATGCCACGTCCTCTCGTTAAAAATACTCCGAGCTAGAGTGGTCATTTAATGGTAATGGAAGTTTCATTGTATCTATATTTAATTGCGTCCCAAAACACAATTCTTTCTGTATAAACGTATTCCACTAATATTTAACTCTAGAGCGAGGGTGTACTCGTTATTGGAATACAACGTTCGTTGTAAAACTCGATAAGTTTCTATCGTTTAATGAATACGAATTTTAACGTCCGTGCTTTATAATGCAAAGTGTAATTATAGGGATATAATTGAAGAAATAATAAAATTCAGAGAAAAATTATGAAATAGATAATAAGGTAAATTGTGCAATTAAGGAGAAATATTCTCTCATTTTCTATTATATAAAAAAAGATATTTCGTGTGAAACAAATATGATGTATGTAAAAATATTTAAAAGTCTGAAACAAATATTTTAAGAAATTAAGATTTTTTAATGTTTAAAATATTTTACGACATCAAGATTTTTTAATGTTTAAAATATTTCAAGACATTAAGATTTTTTAAAGCTTAAAATATTTCGAAACATTAAGTTTTTTAAATGTTTGAAGTATTTTAGTATTGAAAAGCATATTCAAAATGTAGCGAATGAATTTAAACGCTGATGCTAATTCATCGCGGTCACAGATGCGTATGTCTTTCACAACATCCGCACAAGCACTGTGCGCTTAGATATAACATAGAAACGTTTCGTCCAAAGCGCTCTTCATGCCAATGTTTCCTTTGATTTCGTTGAATATACTTCAGAGTACTGAGCATCCTTAAATATACCAAAAAGTGGTCTAAATACTGAATAATCCATGAAACTAGGTATTTAGACCATTTGCTCAAGGCCGCTTGCAATGGCACTCGTATACGAAATTCATTACGTAACTTATAACAAAAGCTTTCAACATCAGTCATATGATCTTAATAAATTAACTACCCTATTGTTAGGTATATGAATAGTCAGTAAAATCTTGCTGATTGAAATAACACGTCAGTATCTTGCAAGATGTCGAAATAAATGAATATGTATAATATACTGACAATAACACAAGTTGTCTGTTCCGAGTGATTCCCTACTATTCCCACTAGGACGAAGTCTCTAACACCACACTTCTAAACTACCGCAACTCCCAAACTAGCTACCTAAACCCTTGAACTAGCTTCCTAAACTCTGGAACTAGCCCATATTTCCTAGCTTGTACTTAGCCCTGTAACATTTATACCGAAGATAAAGATCCACTCACCTGTTTACGTAGCGGAGTGGCGCATTCGTCTTTGGTTCTCTCGAATCGCTCGAATTTGAAGCTGTTGCTCCTGTAGAGTTCGTTGTCGCTTTGCTGTCTCCTGCAGAGCCGTCGGGTGAGTGCTCTGGGTTTGCAGGGCGCGCACTCGGTGGCAAGCCCCCAGTGCAGGTGCAGCATCGCGAGTTCCGCGGTGCATCTGGCCATCGCGCAACCTGCACGCCTTACACGGCACTTGACGCGTTTTATTCGTCCCTCGTGTTGCGGTTTGTGACTGCACGGTTGCGAGCCACTACCGCTGCAATCGCAGCTGCGACGCGATCTTCGTTGTCTGACCGTATGTGAACAGGGCTTAACCTCTTCGCCGCACTCGCACTCGCGTGTACCCTCGCCACCGGCTGTATGCGTACAGTTTATTCTTTCGACACACTCGCACTGCTGTTGCTGCTGCGAGGTGGATTGACTTGCTTGGGAAAAAGTGGGTGAAGAGGAGTGCACTCGATGCCGTGTGCCGCCGGGTGCCGAGTGCCGACAAGGTCGTTCCGGACAGTCGCATCTGTATTGGAACAGACATGTCATTAAACGCGGAAGAAACTCGACTATTTCAACGGATACTTGAAACCAGTTTATTGATGGATCGAAGCAACAAGACGCGGTTCAATTTAAAGAGGATAGTGCGTGTTCGGGATGGAAGTCGATTTATCTTTTTACCCCTGAGTCATTCTTCGTCTTAAGGGTTATTTAACCATACTGTTCAGCAAGTTTGGCACTTATTCGTGATTTATAAACAAATTTTACTTTTAAACGTTTGTACTGGTAATTTTCACTTGAAGGACGCCATTTTTGTTGTATTGGTAAGGATTATGGACGATCATATTGAAAATGTACTTAAGTAATGTAATAAACGTAGTAATTGCGTTATGTAATATACTGATGTTTAAGAAGTTATTAAACTTCTCTCTGTAAATAATTTTATGAACCCATTAATGCATCCCATTATCATAAATTTCACAAATATTGCTACGAAAATTAAGCTGCAGCAACCATAGCAACAACTACGATAATTCCTTCATAATTCCTAACATTTACTTATTTCATTATTTCATTGTATGTTCGTCCATTATTTGTTCTATTTACTTACAAAGAACAGACAATATTTATAATTAAATCTCCAGCTAAATCCAAAAATTTAAATCTTCATGATGAATATTATGAAATGCTAACAATTGAACCAAATCGCAAAAGAAAGAAGAGAAATATTGTGAATACAAATACGACAAAAATATAAAATAAGAAATTGTAGAAAGAGTGTAAAACAATTCCAATATGAACACGAACCAGAGGTGTTCGATCGAACGTACTCGAACAGAGAAACCGAGAGCCCAGGGGTTGTTTATGGTCGACTCCATGAGGCGAGTGTCATTGACATGGTGACCTACACGTCGGAAATTTACGAGGTCCATTCAAACGGTCGTAGCTAAACTGTACTCAAAAGCAGCTAAACTAAAACTTTCCCAATATAGCACAATCTCTATTTCAGCGAGTTCTTTTGAATTCATCGAATCCTAATTTGTCTTATCCGCCTTTACATTCTATGTAGTTCTAGGCCACTGTAGTTCAGGTCACATTATATCAAGATATATTGTGGACCGCTGTATCTTGTTACACTACAATGCTTTCTGTCATGACCAGTAGAGTCTCCTACAATAAGTTGTTCCATCCTCGGATAAGCTCCACACAAACGCTGCTGCCTGTTCTTGTATAATCAGATATCTGCTGCGTTGGATCTTATTGGTTATCTACCTCTGAGATGTCCACAATTTAGATCTGAACTTGTTGGTCGTAAATTGATTTTAGGTGAAGCGTGTTGAATATTAATTACTTGATTTAACAGGGGTAGTTCGGGCTTTGCAGTTTTTTGAATCTGAGAGGAGAAGATTGGGAGTCTTCAAGTTTGGGAGTTTGGGATTTTGGAAATTTAGGATGTGAAGATTTAAGAGTTTTGAAGTTTGGGATTTTGGAAATTTGTGATTTGGGAGTTTGGAATTTGAGAGTTTCGAATTTTGGGACTTTGGAATTTTGTCTTTTTAAAATATTGGGACGTGGGGATATTGGGACGTAGGGATATCGACACATATGGACTTTGGGACTTAGGGATATCGACTTTGGGACATAATGTTCTTATTTGGGACATAAGAACATTAGAGCGTAGAGATATTGGGACGCAGAGGTATTCAAACGTATAGATATCGGCACATATGGACGTTGGGTCATAGGGTCATTAGGGCGTCGGGACATTGACACGTACGAACATTGAAACGTAGGAACTTTAGGACATACAGATATTGAAACGTAGAGATATCAGAACATACGAACATTGAAACGTAGAAATACTGGGACATAAGAACATTGAAAAATAGAGATATTGAAACGTGGAGATATTGGTACGTAGGGACAATGGCAGACACATAGACATTGAAACGATATTGGTACGTAGAGAAAATTGAAATTTTTCGAATCATAAGAAAAATAATATACTACAAACCTAAATTTCAAAAGAATCAAAATGACCATTTCCCACAGTAATTTTCCACCCCCATAAATTTTCAAAGTACCAAGTTAACTACCCCAAGTCCATCGACTATCTCCTAAATACCTAAAATGATAGATAAGCAGCAATTTTCATTTTATGAAAGAAACTAATAAACGTTAAATCGCGCGCAATCTAATAATACAAGAAATGGCATCATCTGTTGAGTGAGAACAGCAATGTTCTTTAGACCGTTTGAAATTCTCACAGCATGATTTAGGAGTGAAACTTTCAAGAATAGAAAGAAAAAAAGCAATAACTCGCGTTCGCGTTCTTATGCTATATATACGAACATCCATAATGCTTAAGACGTTAACGACAAAACAGGACACGAAACGGCTGAAAAACAACGATGGCGTTAGAACCTGCTATTTCGCGTTACTCAGGATAGACGAAATAAAGTAGCGACGTGACACGGCTTACGCGAACTCAATTTCACGGAATGATATAAGCAATTAGAGCAACACGTGCGTCAGAAGTAATGTTTACATTTTTAATTTCGCATTTTGTAAATGGCTTTGGATCGGTGTTAAACATCCATTAGTTGCAATTATACAGGGTGAAAAGCTGCAGTGACACGTCTCTTGGAAGTTCATTAAAATTTACTCTGAGTGAGTTTATGAAAATATACACTTTTGAGAGACGGGTTTACGAAAATATAAATAAATGACTTTTGTGTTTCTTTTTTGTAGAAAATTCTCAAGCTTTTATATTTTTAATTTTAAAGTAGGTCGTAAGTATCTCTAAATTCCAAATTTTCAAGTCCTTGATTTACTAAGTTGCTAAAATTTCAAATTTTTGTATTATCAAATTTATAAACCAACAAAGTTCTGAATGTGTAAATTCCTAAACCCTTAAATTGATAAACTCTCAAATTGCTGAACCTCCAAAGGCTAAATCTGCAAATTCCTAAACCCCTAAATTGATAAACCCTCAAATTGCTGAACTCCCAAATTCCTAACTCCTCAAATTGGTAGACTCTAATTTCCTAAATCCCCAAGTTCTTAAACTTCCAATTTCCTGTGTCTACAAATTTCTAAATCCCCGAACTCCAACATCCCCAAATTCCTAAACGCCCGAATTTCTAACCCTCTAAATTCATAAACCTCCAAAGTTCTAAACCCTCGAATTCCTAAACCCCCAAGTTCTTAAACTTCCAATTTCCTGTGTTTCCAAATTTTGTAATCCCCAAACTCTTACATCCCCCAATTCCTAAACCCCTAAATTCCTAAGCCCCGAAATTGCTAAACCCACAAATTCCTAAACCCCCAAGTTCTTAAACTTCCAATTTCCTGTCTCCAAATTTTTAAATCCCCGAAGTCCTGCATCGCCAAATTCCTAAACCCCTAAATTCCTAAACCCCCAAATTCCAAACCTTCCAATTTCCTGCATCCCCAAATTTCTAGCTCCCCACATACTAAACTTCCAAATACCTAAACCCTCAAATTTCTAACCTCCAATTACCTTTAACAAGTTCCAACTTGTTAAATTTCCATATTGACAACTGATGACATAAAAGAACGTTCAAATCCTTCAACCTTGACGTTCGCGCAACAACCTTGAGGCATCATATATTTCCCTATCAGAACAACCTGTAGAATATAAAGGTAACGAGGCAACGATTTATTTCTCCGTCTCGCTCAATCTCCATTCGTCAGTCAATAAACTTGCACTTATCTCGCATAATAAAATCACGAGAAAATGTTACGACCACTCGAACCCTTTCTTCCACAACATGCAAGTATAATACCCTCGTTAACCTTTCCATCGTTAAGTACACGCATTACCCTCTCTCTAGAAAAGGCCGCCAGGTTAACTATACCGGGTCGCTTCGAGCTTTGCAAATACGATCAACACGTCGTTACTTTGACCTTCGTCGTTCCTTCCACCCCTTTAACTCATAATGGTTCGTAACATGTGCATACACTCCAGGTGTTTAATAAATAGCGATGGGATCTAAGTATATCGGCGAGGTTCGAATCTCGCCGAATAACTTCGAATTAATTAATGAGCTCGTAAAAAAGGAGAGACTCGTGGATATATTTAAACCTGATGAGATAGGCACGAAGGTTCTGCAAGTATTTTAAGATACACAGGAAGTACTTCGAGTATAATTAAACCTTGACACTCGAGTATAATGTAACCTTCCTAAGGGAAGCTTATTTAAGGGAAGGTACTTTAACTACGGCTAAAGGGAAGTGTGCAGATTAGACTCTTCTTGCATCTTCTCTGAGACTGGGGTTACCTTTAAATTTTTTACGCGTTTAACAGGCCTTAGTTTGTCCCTAGGCTCTAGGTTATTTCTGGTTACCTACATACCCAAATTCTCATTTCCCAAAATTTCTCCAAATATCTAAACTCTAAATTGTTGAACTTCCACGTTCGAAATTCTCTGAATTCCTAAATCTCTAAATTTCCAGGTCCTCAATTATTCAAATTCCCACCCTTCGCGAAAAGGAGCCTGCGTGCACCCCTTTTATACTTTCCCCATTGCACAGAAATCTATTTACGATATTGGATCTGTCCAAAATCCCAGTGCAATGTACCGTGTCTTTCCCTCGAATTTTTTTACAAAATTCGGGTCGAATCGTAAAATTCTCGTAAACACTCGAACGCTACAAGTACTCAAACCGAGGTCAGAAACCAACCCCTATAATTCCAGTGCCTGGCAAGTACATAAAACACAGCCTCGTACGATTGGCGCTCGATTCCCATAAAATTTTTGTTTGGACTTGGCTCGGGTTTGGGGATAACATATCGAATTTTGCATCTCTAATAGGGTAACGAAGCTACGATGGCATCGAACATCGAGTACGAAGAAGGAAAAACAAGTAGTATTTTTACTTGCCTTCGAATTCTTCGTACGGCTGATGCACGCTGTGCATGCACACAGGGCTGTGATTCCGGTGGACAGTCACAGTTGCCAACCGTAGGTCGAGTACGACGAACCCTAATCAGTACTGGATGCACAGGACATGGCTGCACCTGACAACCGCACACGATCGTTTGCGGTCCACCACGAGATTTCCGGCCACCCCCGCGTTTCGCGCGTTGGTCCACGTGCAGCTGACACGGCTGCACAGGGCAACCACAGCGAGCTGTGGCACCGCGACGCCCGGCACCTTGTACGCGTCTCCACACCCGCTCCATTCAACGACCGGCGTGCGACTGACGAATGCACACCCCACACCACTCGACGCTCTCGATTCGCCTCGATCGTCTTCGGCTAACTTCGGCCGCAGTCGTCACCCTCACCGTTTCGACAGTCGTTCTTCGAAAAGAGCAAATTGCAAGTTGTTGCGGTATATTTGTCGTGTTCGCGATTATAAGTACAATAATTATTCGGTTCATTGTTTGATTACTGTGTTGTTAAATGTTAAATGTGTTAAATGTGTGATTTGTGAAACAGAACTTGTGTAACGTTACTGATTGTTGTGAAAGTGTTAAGTGTGTTGCTGTGCAGGATCGAGATTTCTACTTTTCAGGTAATACATGTATTTTATGAATATGTACTTACTTGATTATACTTGAATATAATACAACTTCGAGGATAATGTAATTCAGAGTGGTTTTGAATTATTATTTCTGTTTTTTTTGTTATTTAGTGACGAGTTGAAGACTTGGAAATTTGTGGCGCGAGTTCAAACTACTTCGTACGCTTCCGGAAAACTTCGTGGAACATCGGCGCTGTAACCGCGGCAGCTCGGTGAGTGGGAAATTCAAATTTCTATTCTGATACAAACAGCATTTATTATGTATAAATTTACAATGGGTAATTAATTATTTATGCATTATTGTACAAAACATTCGTAAAAGTTTATATTTCAAAATTTGAATAATTTTTTATAGTTCGAAACTTTATATTTTTTTTTAAATAATACATGAACAAGACTGAATCGTTTTGAGAGGTTTATATTTATACAAAATAAAGATACGGTTCTATTCAGAAAAATAATTTTATGTTTATAATGACAGTATTTATAAGAATTAAATAATATAGCATACATAGATTTCTAATAAATACGTACAAATGTGTATATTACAATACATTCCTTTGCTAATTACAAATATTTATAAAATTGTATAAAATTATTGATAATGCATGGATCAACTGGATTGCGTAGTACTCAATAGAGAAGCAGCAAATATTTGTTGCAATATTCGAGGTATATCCTTGAGGTCCATACAAATGAATGCTCGTCCAGAAGGCATTCTCTTCATTAAGCTTAAAATTAAACACACATGCTTATTTTTAAGAAAAACAGTTACTAATTAAACTACTTGACAAATAACAATATATGCAATTTAACATTCAAAATGGATATAGTCACATGTTACTATAATATTGAAATATGAACATACCTAACTGCCTGATTTCCCAAGGAACCAATAAATATAGCAAAAGCATTTACATTCGGATTCGACGTAAGAATTCTTGCAAAATATTCGGGCGATATACCGTAACGATCAAAATTCGCATCAGAAAGTACAACAACGATAGACTCGTCAGAATCTTCCTTTGCCAAACTCGCGATTGCATGTTGCGTTGCCTCCAAAGTATTGTCACCAGACATGCAAAACTGCGAATGTGCGTGCATCGTCTGAAAGAAATCCCACCGTTTAGAAATCTAAGTTTCAAGTTTAACGGAGGTAGTTTCTTAACTTCAATTACCTTTATCACTTCTAATCTACGCTTATTATCCGCCGGAGGTTGAGTGTGCTTAACGAAAACGATATCATAGTCATCGCCGGAATGACCAACGATATCATACTGAAACTTCCCTTCATATCCGCTAAACGCTTCCATTACCATAACACAAGCCTCCATTTCTCGATCCAAGCGTCCATCGTATCCGTTAAACCTATACATGCTACCCGATACATCCACCACCAGTTTCAAACGTTTCGGTTTGGTTAGTGGTGTACCAGGTTCTGGTTCTTTCTCGGCTCTTCTTCGGTAAATCGTTCTTTCTCCCGTTAAACCCTCGATTAGTTTCGTATCGTCTAATTCACCTGAGGTCTGGTGCCTGCACCATTGACGCTCCTTGCTTTTAGCTTGTAAACTATCTGCAAAATACAACATTAAATCTTTTATAAATTCATTATGATATTGATTAGGTCACTCTAACTTCAGGTTTCAATTGTTTTGAAAATGTAAATTAAGTCTCAATTCTCCCAAGTCCTTTAATCCCGCAGTTCACAAATGTCAACATTTCTGAACTACCAAGTTTCTATATCAGTGTTTACAAACACACCAAATAATATTCACCTATTATAGTCCTCAAAGCTCGAACCTGTCCCTGAACAGCATTACTAAATTGCGAGTAAAGATTATGATCATATTCGCTCATATTAATGTCTCTCAGGCGTTGCTTGAACGCTCTGAGACCCATTTCCCTAGCTGCCTTTTTCACGTGTTCCGGAATTGCGTTCTTTTCTTCATCGCTGAGTTGATGCACCGTATGGCCAGCATCCAAACGATAAGGACCACCTTTTCCGCCGAGACCTGCCGTGTCCCTTCCTGCAATTTCGCATTAAACATTCATATCTCGCTGGATGTCCATAATCCTAATAACGTGTTATACCTCCAGTTCCTCCAGCCCAAGTGTTGCCTCCAACGTGCGGCGCATTTTGTTCATCGATTTTACCATGCTTAGGGCCGCTGACGTCCAATCCCGAATATCTATCCTTCGTAATTTGTAACTTCTCGTTATCGTCTCCTACCATTCTTCTCCAAGCGCCCAGTGATTTTTCTATGTTCGCTAAAGATGACTCCCATACACGAACGCATCCACCTGCATCTACCGTTACGAGATCCTGATTGGATTTAGACGAGACATGCAAGGGGTAACTGCTTCCGTATAACAATTGTGTCACGTGAGGTACATTTACTGGTCTAAAAAATAAATATATGAATGAGTAAATAATAATATGTGTAAATAAAGGATTCTCCTACTGTTTTAGAAATACTCAATCGTTGCTACATAGGGTACTTGTTCTAAGTTGAGCACGGTAATTATTGGATTTTGTGATGTAACGCGTGTCAATAGGGGGAGTGGCGATATAATGTGTAGAGATAGAAACGCGTAGAGATATTAACGAGTAGGGATATTAATGCGTAGCGACGTTAACGCGCAGAGATATTAACGCGCTACATTGCAACGCGTGGGCATATTAACGAGTCACAATACTAACGTGTGGAAATGTGACGCATGGTGGCATAACTCATGGCGATACAACGCGTAGGAATATTAACGCGTAGAAATATTAACGAATCACGATATCAACACGTGGTGATATACCTGTAGCAACACAACGCAAACGAATATTAACTCATTGCAGTTCAACTTATGGCAACACAATGCAAAGAGATATCAACGTGTTAGAATCCAACACAATACAATATTCACTACATATTTTCAGCAATACCTATTTTCCCCCTCACGTGCTCTAACGACCCCGACCGCAATCTTAAACAAAATTCAAATAATAGACAAGTATACTCACTCCGGCACAGGAAAATAGCGCAACTTGTGGTTAACAGTATCAACAACTTCTAAATAGCCAGCAATTCCCAAATGTGGCCCAGTTTTAGGAAGAACGTCGTCAGGAACTTCCTCGTTTCTCACTGCTCTAATAATCTGTCCGTTCTCCATAACAATAGGAGGAGTAGAACTTGTACTGTGTGGTCTAGGCCAAAAGTGAAGTTCGTTGCAGCTGTCCAAATCAGGAAATCCGACAGCAATAACTGCATAAGTATTATCAGCCACTAACAATCTGTTTGGAGAATCTATCTTTTGTTCCAACGCTGCGCTAAGGACGTTGGTACTCAGATTATTGTTACCGCAACTCAAGAATGAACCAACTTTAACAGTATCTTTGCCAGTTTCTTGGAGTTCTTGTAAAATATTCGGGCATGGAGCGGAATCGGAAGATTTTTTGAGAGTGTATTTGTTCCTGTGGAAGTCTTGGATCAGCCACTTTTTCTCGGATGGAAGTAGAATGGATTCGATGTCGAATGGTAGATTGATCGTGTAAGAAGACATGGAATGTAAATTGATCACTTCTATCCTGCTAGAATTACGCGTGTAAAATACAATTTGATTATGAGAGGCTATTAAATCGGTCTTCATCTTCCACTGGAAATTGTTGGTTCGAAAAGCGCTCGCTAACTTATCCGAAGCCATGTCGAGGAAGGAGAGTAACTCTATTTTTCGGGCAGATCCATCATTCGTGTTCACCAGTAACAGAGCGTTGGTCTGAAAGCAAGTGTCTGTTAGAATAAACGTTAGTAGGAATAAATGAATTTCGCAGAAAAATCTACTTACATTGCCCTCGTGTACTAAAATGTTGTGATCATTATCGCTTGCCATTGTGTACAAAGGTCTGCTGTTTCTTTCATAGGTTATTAAACTCGGTAAGAAAGTTTCCTGCATCGTATCTGATTCTAGGCTCATGGTGAAGATCTTTAAAGGGTACTCCGTGAGAATATTAATTTTATCATCCTTGCCATCGCCCCTCGTACCTTTAACGGTTGTTAAAGCCGCAACTACGCCAGCGTTACTAAGCGGTACAGTCCAATAACTTTGTAATTCGGTGAATAATGCCGAACGAGCTTCGACGCGATCTAAAGGCAAAGTCTTTTGTCTCAAAGTTATCGGTGATTTCAGCCTAATATATTTCTCTTGGACACTTAACACTTGTTGCTGATTCGATACATTCCAAGCGGAGCAAACCTTGTTCGATGGTAAAGGTATTCTGTAAAGGAAAAGGACGGGAAATGTATCTGAACATCGTACTCTTTTCACATTTTATTTTTTAAATAAAAATATATAAAAACAAAATTAGGTTCCAACAAAATTTTTCTTGTGGATCTTACTCTTTTGCTAAGGCAATGTTAGTGGGGCTGGTTCCAATGGGAATTCCATGTTTATGTAAAACAGACACTAGTGTGCTAAACGTTTCTTCGCTGTATCGATCAAAATCGAATACGTTTCGCACCACGTTGGCTAACGATTCCTGAGGAAATTTCTGTGAACACAAAAATATACATATATTGATGTGAAGTACAGATTACATATCTATAGCTGACATCTGTTCAAATCGCTTTTCAAACTAGTTGACTGAGAACAAAATAAAAGTTCAATATATTTCTTACACCACATATGAATATACAAATGATACATATGCACTTTTTTATATCAAAACACACACTTCAGGGTCAGATATAAAATCATGCAGCCTTACCTCTAAATGTTTCACTACATTAACAACTTCTCGAGTAGAGTACGGATAGGAAACTAGACCTTGATCAGCCATATTCCTCAATTCCCCAAACGCTTTAACCAGTTTCAATATTATTTCCCTATCTACGTTAGGACCGTACTGTTTCAAAAGCTGTATTTCATTTTCAACGGTTGGATTATCAACAGCATGTGTGCTAAAGAGATCACCCAGTGCTCCAAAGAAATCGTGTCCCAAAAATGGGAAGCCTGGTCTGTTTGCCAGTACCATCATCCTAAAATCAGGATGAAGTACTATTGTGTTCGAATCCTGGGTATCAGAACTAGCAAAAGGTACTATGCGTCTTCCATCTGACAGTATCATTTCATCCGATTCAACCAATGTCTGAAAAACAGAAGTTTTGTTAAATCTAACAGTTAAAAATTATGAAGCCTTAAGAGTCACAAGCAGACATTAAATGTTTATGTAGATATCTATAATTTTAGAAAAGAATAGATGATTTTGTAAAATTCTTAATTTGGGAACTTGTTGATCTGGTTCATCCATAAACATCAGAGGTCTACTTATGACAAGTCCATTAAACATACTTTCAAAATGCAAGTAACATGAGTAGGCGCTTTATCGGCTTCATCGACAACCAGAACATGTCCCAGTTTAACAGCCTGCACAAGTGGCGAGTCTTCATAAACTACTTTTCCATCTCTAACCATCGGCTGCAGCGTCAAAGTTTGAACAGTCGTGTCTCTATGTAGCTGTATATATTCTCGTGGTCTGTTCAACAATTGCAACAATCGATCAACAATTTTGTTCTTCCCTACACCTTGGTTACCAACTAGTAACAAATGCTGTCCTAAGCTAAAGTCTTGCAACAAGTTCTCCAAAAGTGCCACATGCTGAGGCACGTCGTAGAACAATACGTCAGGTACTTTGGTTAAAGCTGTCGTTTTGTATCTTTCCACGATCGTGTTACCAATTTTAACGGCGTCCCCTGTGATTATACATTTGACATCCTCGCTAGATACAGTTCTCGTTGGGACGATACCCACGCGTTTGCAAGAATCGTCGAGTGCTTGTTTCGCTACTGATGGCAGGAAGCGAGCCAGGCAAGCACGTTGCACTGCGCCGTAAGCATCGTCGGTTTGGAATTTATGCATTCTTCCTGCTATCCTTAGAAGCTGTCTTGTACTCAAAAATCCTGAGAGAGAGTGCAAAGTTGAGTCGGTGGAAGATCGTAGTAGGTGAGCCAGCTCTAAGATGTTTAGTAAGGCTTTTGAAGGTTCTCCATACTGGAACAACACGAGATTGATCAAAGTCCTTTCAGAAAAAGGATAATCTTTTCTAAGTTAAGAAAAATTTAAGCTAATCTTTCAACTGCTATTAAAGAGTTTTATGTCTGTAAATTATTCCATGTAAATTAATGCAAACACCTATGTAACAGTCTGACTATAAAGCCATTATAACAGCTAAAGGATTAACAAGAATAAACACCTTCGATCGAATGATATGAAGTTCCTCAGATTTAGTGAGCGGTCTCATTTCATGGAAAAGGAACAAACTGAGTAGTTCAGAGTTCAACCATTGCCTCGAAGAGGTATTAATCGCCGGCGATTCCGCTAAAGCTATAATCCTGAAGGAAGGGTGAATACGTAATACTCCAGACTCTTGTAATTCCTCGTCTGATTTGTTGTACTTCTCTTTTATCTCGTCGTAACGATCTGCCCTGATGAGTCTCTTTCCATCGTGTAATTGTAACTCGCGATCGTGAACCAATCTATGTAGGAAAGGAATTAAATGTTTGCAAAGTTGGTTTTTTGAAATTCTTCAAATGTACCTATGCAATATAGCCAGAGTACTGGGATCTATTCTGTTAATTCCGTCTAGGACTGCCAATTTTCCTTGCAATGCTGCGTCGACTAGGGGTGAGTTCTTCCATACGGTGTCACCGGTGGATAAGGTGGTTCGTTGTTGGATTAAGTCTCTGGAAGTCATGTCCTAAGAAGATATTTTAATTGTCTTATATTGTTATAAATAACTGGTCGGTTTAATAGTAATGTGAGTGACGAGCTAGTGTGATCTTGAAAAGGTCGATGCATGGGTGGGTAAGTATATTTATTCAGGGTACTAATAACTGATTTCTCAGTTCGAAAAATTAGAACTTCCATATGTCTCAATTTCTAATTGGTAAAATTATCAAAGTATTAAATTTTGTAATTCTGAACTCCCCAAGTTTTGAAATTACCAAATTACTGAATTTCTACATTTTAAACTTCCAAATCTACAAACTTATCAAATGACCAAATTATCAAGTGACCAAATTATCAAATGACCAATTTGTCAAATAACTAAATTATTAAATGACCAAATTATCAAATGACCAAATTACCAAATGACCAAATTATCAAATAACCAAATTATCAAATGACCAAATTATCAAATTAACAAATTTCTAAATTTGTAAATTACCCCATCCCTCACCACACCATTGATCACTCCAAGCTCATTGATCACATGTCTATCACTGATCTAAATAGCACCTGCCTGATATAATACCACAGGTTCCACCTGATATCCCATTAAATTGGCTAACGTCTGTACAGTAATCGATTTTCCACAGCCCTTTGGACCAATTAAACAAAGGTCAGATACTATATGCGACTCCAGCATGCTCGCCAATAAATTATTCTGATAATTCGTCTCTATATATTTAATCCTCCCATCATTTTCGTTCGTCCGTTTAGTACCGCAAGAAACCTACAGAACACACGTCGAAATAGAACACTCACCCCGATATCCCTTTTCTTTGTCATCATTGTTACTCACATTCAACACCGTTTCGTTCTTAGCATACTTCACCCCGACCTTAATCGAATTCTTATCTTCATTTTTACTTTGCACACTTATTTCTTTCGAAACTTTCGACGTTTCATCCGGAATGCGAAAAGTTTCCAATATGTTTTCGACGGCGCTTCGACCCTCTTTCCCCAAAAATAATTTATAAGGATAACATCTGTAAAATATGTCATACACCGGCAGATATGGGCATTGATCCTGCGATAACACGAAGATTAACATAAAATCCGTGGAGCAAATCGGCGGTTTAGGTGGGAAAATGTTTACCATGATAATGGCCGCCGAGGAAAGATTATCCAGGGGAAAATCTGGAAGACCTAAGGATATAGCCTCTTGTGTAACGAAAGCGTGCGCGCATGATAATAATTGCTTCAATTTCGCGGTGTCCGTGTGTGTTACTAGATTCGTCAACGTTTTCAATTGTTCCTAAAAATTGAAACCATCTATCAAAAATCCATTTAAACGAATACCGACACGGTAACAGCTTTTAAATTATTTTTTGACAATTTATTGCAACACACGTTACATGTAGGACACTTTACATATATGTTTTCATATGTTCAATTTATAAAAATATTTTTTTTATTGTTCAAGTGATATGTATAGCAGAGTAAATAGTACTGAATATGTGCATTATCTGAAAGATATTTTGAGTTTATTTTCAAGTGTATGTAAAATATAGTTCTTGTACGTGTAAACATATGAACATATGAGTAAAGTTATTTAAAATGTTATTTACTCATATGTAAAAGTTAATTAAATTAATGTATTGTATATTGTACATGATAACCTTTAATCATAATTACATTTAATGATAATACAGTAGTTACGTATTTGTATAATTTTGATGTGTAGATAATTTCCGTTTAATTTCGGAATTTGTAATTCAGACGCCCAACGATCAAAGTTATGATTGCGTTATTTCCACGGGACATTAGAGTCGTTTCCGTTTACCCGAAAACTGCATATCTCGCATAATTGTGAACAATTCCATGTACGGAATGTTACACTACAATTTGTTCGAAACAGTCCAACCGAGTGATTAGCACCAAGAGAGCTTTCCACCGCGTGCCAACTACGGGAATAACTACCACCCGGCACGAAATCCTCGAGATAGCTTACAGATTTTCATCGAAAAGTTTCAATTGAGCCACATTCTCGAACCAATCGACGCGATTATCGCGGCTTCCGCGAAAATACGATTCCCTTAACGATATCTCGAAATAGATCCGCGAAACGGAAGAGTTCCATGGAAATTGACTCAATTTGAAGAAAAGTGTACGTAGATAAACGCGAAAATAGTATTTAGAAATTGTAATATACAACGCCTGAAATTTAATAAACATTTTTAGAGTATAAATAAATAAATGTTCGAATCGTTGAAACACTGAAAAGTCTTAAAAAAAAAATATTAATGAGAATTAAAAGATGATTCATTGAATCCACCCAGAAATTGATTCATTATAGGATCATTATATAATCATTCATTTTCAACTGGCATGTGGACCTTGAACTATTGTACAATATATTCATAATAACATCAAAAAAGAACCATAGAACTACAGTTTAAATAAGAGACTATAATTTAAGAATATTAATATCCCCAACAAATTTTTGTTGGAGCCTTCTCTTTGTGCTCCCTAATGAGCTTCTCTATTCAAACTTCGTTTAAAGGAATAACAATATCATCATATTGCGTGCTGTATTTCAAATTCGTGTTTAATGTCGCTCCTGATGAACTTTTCAAACGACAAATCCAATTTAACGAGACTACTGCAGCGTTAAATAACAGCCAACTTTGTTAAGGAAGTTGTACATAATTCAGAACAGGATCGACACTATTCGTTCCTGATAACGATACATGCCCTAAAGTGACAAACTTTCACGAAAGTTTTTAAAATTGTTATCAAACAATTATAATAGGCATGCTTCTTTCGCGGATAAAAGCACGCGATTCGTAAACTTTGGTAAAATATCCAAGTTCATTGTCTTGGAGATATTTGTACCTTCTTTGGGTGGATTAAGTTAAGGAAATATAGTTTTGATGTGATGTGGCATTGAAACGTGTGTTGAGACATATATGTGTATTATTAGATTCTGTGATCACGAGATTTTAGTATGTTTAAATTCCTGGAGTGGATCTGCGTTAGTAAATTTTTATATGCCAAGATCACTATGTGAGGAGAACTCCACATCTGTAATATTTTCTGTATGGTCAAATGTCCATGTGCTCGTGTCTTCAATTCTCTATATCCTTAACTTCCTATATTTCAAATACCTATATCTCTGGATTCGCTTATTTCAAACTCCTATATCCCCGAATCACATATCCCCAAATCTCTACATCTCCAAATTTCTACATACCCAAATCTCGACATCTCCAAATTTCTACATCCCCAAATCCCTACGTCTCCGAATTCCTACATTCCCAAATTTCTGTATGCCCAAATCCCAACATCCCCGAATCTCTACGTCCCCAAATCCCAACATCCCCAAATCCCAACATCCTCAAATCCCAACATTCCCAAATTCCAACATCCCCAAATTCCAACATCCCTAAATCCCAACATCCCCAAATCCCAACATCCCCAAATCCCAACATCCCCAAATCCCTACATCTCCAAATCCCAACATCCCCAAATCCCAACATCCTCAAATCCCAACATCCCCAAATCCCGACATCCCCAAATCCCTACATCTCCAAATCCCAACATCCCCAAATCCCTACATCTCCAAATCTCTACATCCCCAAATCCCTACATCCCCAAATCTCTACATCTCCAAATTTCTACATCCCCAAATCTCTACATTCCCAAATCCCTATATCCCCAAATCTCTATATCTCCAAATCCCTACATCCCCAAATTCCAACATCCTCAAATCCCAACATCCCCAAATCCCAACATCCCCAAATCCCTACATCTCCAAATCCCAACATCCCCAAATCCCAACATCACCAAATCCCTACATCCCCAAATCTCTACATCCCCAAATCTCTATATCCCCAAATCCCTACATCCCCAAATCTCTACATCTCCAAATCTCTAAATCCCCAAATCTCTACATCTCCAAATCCCTACATCCCCAAATCCCAACATCTCCAAATTCCAATATCCCCAAATCCCAACATCCCCAAATCCCTACATCCCCAAATCCCCACATCCCAATATCCCTACACCCCTATATCCTTTTATCCCTACTTATCAATTGTATAGAACACTAAATACAAATAGTACGCAATCATTTTTAAAAAAAGCTGTACCTATAAATTACGACTGGAGAAATTACCAATTTCCTACGCTGTCGGCAAACAGCCAAAACTTTTTAATTTCCCAATTTTTTATTATGCCAAAGTAGAAATTACTTTGAAAGCCATTTAACCGTTGAAACCGTGTATACGAACGCATAAAAACGAAGTTTCTGCGTGTAAAGGGTATTACTTTGTAAATTGCACAGCGTGACACGAAGTTTTACAACATATTATTGGGACCTTCGTCGCGCAGTCACGGAAAATCGCTCTAAACGAAGTTTAAACGTCCTCCGTGAACCTTTCTAATTATATTTGACTTTTTAAGTGACCCTTGCCACCGTTGTTATTTAACTTTGCCCGACAATTTATGAACATGCCGGTGCGGCGTTAAAATGCGTAAAACACCATCGCGACGTCTCGCGCCGGCACCATACCCCATTATTTCTTCACACGAAGAATGATGGCTATCGAATTGCCTCTCGATGAAGTGGAATTTATTATGGGGTATTGATTTTCGATGAAAAGGTAGGAATGCAGACGAAACCGCCGTGTAACACGTTTGATAAAGGATGCTCGCGATAATCAGAAAACATCATTCTATCTAATGATTTTAGATAGAAACTGAGTTATTGAACAAAATTTTAAAAATAGATATTTGAATTTTTTTTAGATTTTAGACATTTTCTAATTTTGAAACTTTTTAGGTTTTAAATTTTTTAAATAGTGCTTGAGAGGAGTTCCATTTATATGGCCCTTTCTTTAATTTTCTTCGCTGTTATAATCTCTAGGTCATATGTTAGAAATCTACTTCTGTTATAATACTATTGCTAGCACTATATCATGAAAACTTACATACACCGTAACCTCTCGTTACATTGCCACCTTCACACGAATTTTCACACATTTGATGCTACCCTATCATTTAGAATCTTTTTGATCAACACAATATAATTCTAACTTTAAAAGTTCTCTACTGCCTTGGTCCAGGCAATATAACGATTTGCTACATTTTTCTTTCGTTCAGAGATAAATACCTTTGCGTGACGTCAATGCATATCAGTCTACTTGAATAAATTTCTACCACTAGAAGCTGACTGATGATCTCTTAGCAGCAAATAATTCTCTTGGGCATTGCAAATGGCACTATACAGATCCCATGTAAATTGCAAAATAATTAAAAAATTGCATGCAAACGAAAGCTTTGAAACGTTATCTGGTTAATCGTTGATCAATGATTCCTGAGACGAGTAATTCTCCTTGGAATTAATGTTCGGTATCACTATGTGCAATTTGAAACGTCCCGGAGGAGACCACATGGTCGATGATTTTTCCTCTTTCGTTTCGCTCTTCCTTTGATCTTCGTACAATTTCAGAGACATCTTCTCGTCGTCCAACGTACAGAACAAAGGATCCGTTTCGCTGTTTTCTCGACACCGTTCTTTCGTTCTCTTTATCTTGGGCAACCGATTCTCCATTATCCTCTCATCCCTCTTGGCGGATTCCAAATGACGCTCCTTGTGCAACTTATAATTTTTCACCGTTGCCTGTTCCTTTTCCTCGGAACATTCGCGTTTTAAGCGAGGAAATCTCTTCTTCATCCACTTTCGTTCCTCGTCGCGAGACGATCTCTCGAAATCCTCGAAGTTGTAGCTTTGCGCCCTTCCGGATAAATCCAGCCACTGAAGAACTCTTTCGAACAATGGGTTCCAGAAGGTATCGGGTGTCCCCTCCATTTGTTTGCATTCCGTCGCGTTTGCTTTACTATTTGCCTCCTTAAGAGCATCCACATCTTCCTGACAGTCTAGCTGCTCCTGATTTCTTCTGTTTCCGTCTAAGGAAGATTCTAATGTATCAACATTGCTGGCCATTCTGGGACAAGGAGGCGCGGACAGTTTGCGATACACCTGAACTTTATTCTCTGAAAGATCTTTGGTGACCATTCGCAGATTCGTGAAACAACTGTTCAATCGTTCGAGCTTCGATTCGAGCTGCTGATATTCCGTGGAGTAACTTTTGCTCCTTGACGCACGAGAACGTCGACGTGACCTGGGATTGATCAATGGATCGTCCGGTGACAAAATTGCGTGTCGAATGCCATCTACCCAGACAGTACGAACAGATATCGGTCTCTCCGAGGATGACCATATAGCTGGCATTGTTCGGATTGCCAGATTATTCGATTAACGATACACAGAAAGCGAGGACATTGAGGGCTTTGATCTTCAGAATATTTATTTTCGAGCATACGATTTTTGGTCTTGTAACTTTAAATGATTGGCATTATTTTGACGCGGTTTCGAGCGCGTTTCGATTTGGCCAGATTTCGCGTCAAATTCCTCGGTCGAGCGAATTCCAACGTATCGACTCCTCGACGACGAAACAGAGGACAGAACTACTGTTCTGAGGACACGCGATCCAAACGGCGATGACTGTGACCATAGCGCAGCTACGAACAGTTTATATACGAAGGGAACTGGTTTCGGAAGGGATAGCCGACTACTGGAGGGGTTTCTACGACCTCCGCACCCCGTGTATAACGATACGTCGCTACATAAATCAGGTAAAACTTCACTGAATACCACGCGCCGCGAGCCACGCTAGTAATTATAGATCGTTGTCACATGAAACTTCACATTACCGGTAAATAACTCTGTGCGTACCACATTTGTTTTGCTGCACGAGAAGTAGGTATATGAGTATGGAGGGTTGTAGGGATTGACTAATATTAGAATTGAGGAATATAGAGATGGAGAGATATAATTTCTGACAAATATGGAATTTGAGAGATGTAGGTATTGGGGGATGTAGAGATCAAGGGATGTAAAAATCGAAGGATATAGGGATCGAGGGATATAAGGATTGAGGGATGTAAAAAACGAGGGATATAGGGATTGAGGAATGTAGAGATCGAGAGATGTAAAAATCGAAGGATATAGGGATCGAGAGATATAGGGATTGAGGGATGTAAAAATCGAGGGATATAGGGATTGAGGAATATAGAGATCGAGGGATGTAGGGATCGAAGGATGTAGGAATCAAGGGATGTGGGGATCGAGGGATGTAAGGATCGAGGTATATAAAGATCTAAGAATATAGTAATATATCATATACAAGAGATCTATGGATCTAGAGACACAGGTACCTACTAGTCTACAAATAAACATCTCAATATAACACATATACTATGATACTCATGTCAACAAAATTACTACTAATTATTATAACACTAACAAAACTGAAAAAAATATTTAGATGTCCTCATCTAAATAGACCGCCCTATATATTACAACTTTATTATTTCTATCGAATTATTGAATTATGATAACATTATTACTAAGCCTAAATAAATATATTATATACGTATTATATATTATTCATATGTATATATGAATACATATACATCCAGTTTAATGGTTAATTCCTATATAAATATTTTAGCCTAAAGTACCAATGTAATGAATTGATTTTTTTTATTGAACATATACTTACTTCAAAGCTTGGAGGTGAAATATACCTGGCCTGAAATCTAGATCTAAAAGGTGGGTCAAGTGGATGGCCAGGATACCTTGGTGATGGTAAACCCAGAGCAATAACTCTAAAATCTTCGCTAACTCTGACAAGTCTCCAGGCATCTAATTCTTGTTGACTATGTGTCTGTAAAATAATGGCAAAATCATGTGAAATATGAAGTGAATGATTGGTGTAAAATAATCATATATATTCATACCTCTAGCAATTTATCATAGCGCGCTGCAGGAATCAAGAACCTTCCATCTTCTAAATGCATTTCACGATTTTCTAGCAAGTTATTTAAAACAGGCAACACATTTCGTTCAGCCTTCTCAATACCTTCGATAATGAGGACTCTTCCATTTGTTGCTGCTCTAACGGCACTTTGATCATGATAATAAGCAGTACCACTTTTAATTTCTCTTCGCTGTTTTAAATCTGCTTCAGTTGTGTCTCTTGAAAGGGCAATGTATTCTAATTCACGGTCTGTGAGTTCAAGAAAAGCAAGAGCTAATTGTCTGCGTCTAATGCCTGGTCCTCCAATTAAAAATATATCTTGGGATAGAACATCCTTTTGTAGCATCCATTTTAAATGTTTCAGTGTAATTGTGTCTTCTGCTTGTATTTGTAGTACTGTTTACAAATATTCAAACATTATATTATGCTGTCATGTAGAAATAACAAGGCTTATACGGAAAAGAAATCATGTCAACTCACAGTATTTTCTAGGCACATATTCAGGATTGTTTGGCACTTTCACTCGTTTTGAAACGTTGCCAATTGTAACAACAGTATCATCTGCAATAAAAATATGATAATTTTCTGCAATTGTTTCTTGTTATCAAATTATTATTGATCATTATTTATTTTACCTGATATATTGCGTGTAAACAATTGAAGGTTAGAACAAAATATTTTTGAATTCATTAAGACTCTGGATGCAGTTGACATGCGATGAAAGTTAATGTATACCATTTTATATTAACTTAATTGTCATTTGTGGAACAAAAACTCTATCTAAAACCATACATATTTGCATATGTGTATGAAGTACTTCAACAGAATGGTGTTTATTGTGTTTAATTAAAGATTAATTTGTGGGATCATAGTTCAATATTACTTAATCTAAATGAAAAATGAATATTTTCTAATAAAATGTTATTAATACCTTGCCTAGTACAAAATACGTTTAATGGAAATAAATAACCTAATATTTTAATACAATACTGATTGAAGGTTAACTACGTATATACAAATGAAATAAGTAATTCATGCCAGATTGAAAGAAGACTTTGACACCAGTGGACTTTTATATAACTTTTTTATTACCACACTGAAAAGTATTACAATGATTCTAAAGACTATATTAACATGTACATATATCTTATTGCTGCCTAAATGATTTGGGTATAAATTAAATTATATAAGAAATAAACAGTCTTTTTGTGATGTATTATTTCTAGAATGCTTAAAAACAAACTTTGTACTGTATGATAAACGCTCATAAGCATTATTAAATTTTAAACAAAAACATTGTTTATTTAAAATATCAATGCAGTAAGTCATTGAAATAACTGTCTGTAATGTTTTACATTACATTCCTATAAATCTTAAGAAATTATATCTATAATGATGTTAAAAATATTAAATTGCACTCCATTTTCTCTCATGAAATTTGTCATTCATTTACTCACAAAGAACTGTTTCTTTAAAGTGCAATTGTTCTGTATAGTAAATCATAACATTAAGTACTTTATGCACAGTATAAAATGTAAATAAATTACTTAAGATTAATATCTATACAGTATATCACATTCTTTAAAAGGTACAAAGATCTACTTTGATTCCTACATGTTCATTCTATGCTATTTAGGCAGTAAGTGGAAATGTGAAGCAATCTCAGCAAAAGAGCACCTTTGTAAGAAACTAGATCTCATGATAGGTCATAAAGTGACGTATTTGGTTATCTAATATCAGTAAATAATAAATGAAGAGTGTATAACTAATACATAGCGCGATTGAACGAAATATCTGTTCTTTAACCCTTCTTCGAATTTTGGAGGTTGCAACAACTTTTTAAATTTTTAAACTATGTATGCTTCAATTATTTAAGCATATATATAGGCAATTCTCTACTACCTCATCAAATTTTTAAACGTCGCAAAGCACCTTTTTACATCTACCGATTTGGTAAAATAATGACCATAGGACATCACCTAAATTTCAAAATCCGAAAGAGGATTAAAGAAGTAAAATCAAATAAAAAGCAGTTCATTCGTTTCGTTTCTGAGCTTTTGTTAATACTGAGTAAATATCTTAATGCAGTAGTGAACATTTCGTCTTATAGGGATATGCGGGTAACCCGATATGTCTAGTACCCGGGCTTCGGTTCGAATTTGGAAAAATTCAGGCAGGATTGGGTAGAAATCAAAGAAATATTTTCTTCCATACGAATGCTCGAAGTTTCAAGACTTTTGAAAACATAGTTCGAGATTTGGAAAATACAAAAACCCGATCCCACCTGATCTTTACCGATCCAATGCAAACCCGTAATCGTGAATACACGTACATCCCTGACGTCTTACGATCAGTGGCAATTCGTTTCTTTTACCCTGTCGATTTCAGAAACAACCTATTAAATTTTTAAGAAATTTATGTAAATACACTAATACCATTGCATGTTCTTTTGTAATAAATTACATATAGGAACCAAGAGAATAAAATTTATCATTAATTTTACTTAATAAAATATTCTTCTTCCCACCAAATTTAAAAATTTCTCTATAAGAAAAAAAACAAATGTTACGTTACAATGTAAATGGTAATAATTGACATTAAAAAAATTAGAAAATTACCTCTACAAAATCGTCCGTTCGTCTAGCATTGGCAGGATAATAATCAACGATTAAAGGACGAGGTCGTTGACCGATACCAGACGGCTGTTGTAGTCCACACGCTTGTTCCTCATTTGTAATAACACTTACTAAGGTACTCACTACCTTTTCATCTAACTGTGACATGGCTTTGTTCGGCGTCTTCATACGTCTTAAGAATAAAGCATTCCATTTTTGTCTTAAATGTAAAAAGAATCGGGCAGTTTCAGGATCTAGTTTAAATACCACCCAGTCATCAAGCTTGAATATCGTTCCTTCATTATTTTCATCAGCTTCAGAATCGGATTCACTCTCTGGTACCGCTACGATTTTAAAACGATAATACTAAATAGTCCAAATAATATAACAAGTGAAGTATAAATTAATTCTTACATTCAGCTTCGTATATTACATCTACCGATAACCTTGCTGGTCCACAAAACAATGCCACTGTTAATGGATTAACCAGTGTGGCCATTCTGACGTGACAAAATCGTCCCGTACGACTCATTTCTTCATAAAGTAACCAATCACATGGTAAAGTCTCTACATTAGCAGCGTGTGTTTGAGCAGATGTCATTCTCGGAGATTTCGGATAATCTCTCAAAGTCGATGATGGATGGAAGAATACTTTCACTTCTTTTCTGTAATATCAATTATCCGATAATAAATATACTACCTAAAATTTCAAAGTAGTAAATGGAATAAAATAACATACTGCGTTCTTAACTGCATGTGGTCTCTGTCTACTCTTATGAGATTCGGATATAAACCAGCAGTCAGAGCAGCTTTTACCACAGCCCAATTTTCGGAATTGGAATTCAGATCTCTGATATCTCCTGGCCCCCTTGCTCTAACAAATCCGGATGCACGAAGCTGCCCAAGAAGTTGAGTGCGCATTCCAACCACCATTTCCATCACGGCAGCAGAAATAAAATTTTGTTCGCAGAATGCACGTTCCTTACCACTTGCACGCGCATTCTGCCAGCCTTGAAAGGCTCGTAAAACAGCCATATGATCAGAATAGGTGTTGGTTGCAAATCGTTTACGAGCTGCCGTTGCAGCTCTTTTCTGTGATGGTTGTGAGGGTAAAACAAAAGGATCCCTGAAAGTTATCATGTGACATCAAAATCTTTTATAACCGACGTGTTAAAAATTACGGATTTGACTTACTTGTATGCAAGACTGCATACGATTGTTAAGACTGGGTCTAAACACTTCAGAACAACAGCGTACAGTAACATTTTTCCAAGTCGCGGTTCAATTGGTAAGTCAAGTAAATGACTTCCTAATTCGGTAAGGTCTTCCCACGGATCTAATGCGTCAATAGTTTTTAATAATTGAACTGCGTTTCTTGTTACCATATTGGAAGGTGGTTCTATAGCACGATCCAAAAATTCTGCAATAGGTGTATTTCCAGGAGCTAAATGTTTTGTATAGAGACACAATTCTTGCAACGGTAATCGTAAAATTTCTGGAGTTTGATAAGGCTGCATACTGTTGTATCGAATCGAAGAGAATAATCGATAACATATGCCTTTCCTACATCTTCCTGCTCTACCTTTGCGTTGCTTAGCACAAGCCTGAGAAATCCAATTCGATTTCAGCGTGCACACTCCTGATATGGCGTCAAAAGATTTTTCTTTAACCTTTCCCGAGTCGATAACGTAAACAACATCATCAATTGTGATACTTGTCTCGGCAATGTTGGTTGAAAGAATAATTTTTCTCGTTCCCAAAGGACTTGGTTTAAATACTTTCTTCTGATCACACGTTTGCATATTCGAATGAAGTATATATAAAACATAGCGTAAACCCTGATTCATTTCTCTCTCTTCATTATTTATTTTTTCTCTCATAGTCACGATATCATCGTATCCAGGCAGAAATATTAACAGAGAACCAAGAGGCATTTTCAAGTGGATATGCATAATTAATTGTAAAAGTAGGTCATAATTAATATTTTCGTCATTGAACGTATGATGATAGACATCTAGTAAAAGTTTATCTTCTTCTGAAAGTGAAACATCTTTAGCGTGAGTTATTGCGTCGTCTTGTACTGCACAATCGTAAGTTTTCATGTATGCTTCTATTAATTCTGCACATTCGGTCTGATTCATATTTCTGGCCCAATCTAACGCAGTCCATTCGTTGCCTGCTCGCAAATTTAGATTTGCGCCCAAATTTAAAAGTTGTTCTGTAGTATTGATACATCCTCTACCTGCAGCAACCATAAGCGGGGTTACAGATGTAGTGGAATGTTGATAATCTACAGAAACATTTTCCGAAAGTATGAAATATAAAAGCTGTGCAAAATTATCTTCGCCACCGCGTAACCACGCATCAGAAATGCTTTTATCCATTTCTTCTATTAACCAAGGTTCTAATTTGACTTTCTCTGGGAGCGGTTCATTCTGTTGTGCCAAAATCGGAGCTGGCAACAAACATCTTTCATTCCCGGTATGGGATCCTGATTGCTGGGGCTTATATTGAGTCCAACTTTCTAAAAGTTTGCGTTGATCTTTCTTATTCATAAGTTCTTTTCTCTTTGAAAGCATTTCTTTTGTCATGTAACCAGTTATTTTTAAAACGTCTTCGAGAAAATATGTATCAACATCGTACGATCTACCTAAGACATTTATAACTGCACACTTGCTAAAATACTTTACAAAAATATTGACATCTAACGTAGCGCTCATAAGTATAAGTTTAAGGGACTTGTGTTTCTGCAGTGCATCCTTTAGCGCTATTAGAAGAAAGTCACAAAATCTGTCACGTTCATGAATTTCGTCCACAATAACGTGCGTGACAGTGCTTAAAGCAGAATCACCTGCCATAAGGGTTCTAAGCAGTACACCATTTGTGCAGTATGTTAAAAGAGTTTTTGGAGCAACTCTACTTTCAAGCCTAATCTGGTAACCGAACGTTTGACCAATTTTTTCGTCTCTCTCAAATGCCACCCTTTCAGCTACAGAAACAGCTGATAGTCTTCGCGGTTGAGTACATATAATTCTACAAGGTTGATGCCTTTGTTGACAGTGTTCAAGAATAAACTGTGGAACCTGGGTAGTTTTACCACTACCTGTTTCACCTCCTATTATAATCACTTGATTAGTATTCAAGGCATTAAGAATATCTTCTCTGAAGCCAAAAATTGGGAGAGCTTTACGATAGTTCAATACATCAAAATTGGTTTTTAATTGTGGTACCTGTGGTACACTATTATTTAACCTACCCATTGCTTTTGTACTTGTACTCACTGAAACTAAAAATATCAAATTATGACTTCTAATTTTAATAAGGTATGCTCTTTTATTACATATTGAAAATATTAATACCATCTGCATTAAGAGGTCGTTCTCTTTCGATTGGTGGCAGCAAATCTTGACATTCTTTATGATTTAATGGGAAAGTTTGCAATAAATTATAAATACTCTGTCTTGATGCCTTTTGCAATTTAATAACAGCATCAGATTGAACTATGGTTGAACCTTCTCTCTTGTACACAGTTAGGAAACGATTAGTACCCTTTCTGTTGGAAAAAAGAAATTTATTTTTAATGAAGGAAAGTTTAAACGTATCAATATTTGACTTACCCTCTACTTTTAGATTTTAGTCCAAGTTCATGAGCTAGTTTATGAATATAGGCTCTTTCTTCTGCTGTATATGAAGAAGGAAATTCTAATTCTTTTTGATCAGAAGTTTCTAGTAACTTCTTTAGAGTTAAATTTACTGCTATTCTAGTATCTTCACCAATAAGGGGACTCTTCTTGTGACGATTTCTACGTGGCATGATGAATGTTTAAAATATACGTCTGAAACGTACAACAAACATTAAGTTCCTAAACTTAAACTTTTATTCTATATTATTTTCTCAGTTTAATAAAATGAAATTATTTTAAATCATAAAGTAGCACTATCATTTTTTGTGTGTAACAAAGTGTAATTAATTAGGCACAGTTAGAATTCACAATGACCTTGGCAAAATGAATAAATGGAGCAAGTATAAAAATTCAAAAATAATAATATTTATTTAAATAATAAAATGATCAGTACATAAGGTTCTTGCAGTTGTACGCAATAAGCAACTTCATGATTACATAAAAAAATGAATACATTGTTATGAAGGAAAATATGTACAAACTTACATTATTAGAATGATGCTATCAAAGTACATAAGTCTTCGTAAGGACAATATTGTATATTAATGATTAATAATCAACTGTTAACGATAAAGGTTCTAATACTGATAAAAGTTTATGAAAATTGCGTTTAATAAAAATGAACCACATCTGATCTCTGATTCGCAATAAATACAGACAAATGTTTACGTCCTTCTCGATTATGAAACTCCCTCTATTTAAACGAATTAAACTACAAATTAAAATATTTTCGATCGGTAAAACTGTATCCTTCCGATACTACAGTCGAGCAATCTGTAAAATGTATTTGCGATCTGACTACATTCAATAATAGGTTATAAAATATTTAATAATTGCTGACTTTTTTTATATTGTACAAAGACTTTTAATATTTTGCATTGTCTGCTAAACAAACTAGTGTAACATCTCATGATAATTCAATAGGATTCAGTAACTCGTTTCTTATTTTACAATATATCCTAGAGGGCATTAGAGAACAGCAGAATTTTTCGTGAAATCTTCAGTAAAGCTGGTCTTTAGCAGTATTTTGTCAGTGACCGTGGGACAGAAATTTATGTTGCATGATAAGTCTATTTCATATCTCGTCCATGCGTATGCACATCTCGAAAATGTTATCAGTGCAACGATGCATCAACAAAGTTAATCCAGTTCATCAACAGAGTGTGCTGCTGTCGTTTTTACGAGAGATCCGCAAAACAGTGAAAGCAGGCATACGGTCAAATACTGTTCCAGTAAACAATATGGCCGGTTTAGTTCGGTGCGCGGGTTATGTCGTCCCTATCGTTTCTTTTGAGTGTTTATTGTGCTACATCCAGGATTAACGATTTTCGGTAAGTGCATATTTTACAAAAGACATAATTCTATGTAGAAAAATTGAATAAACAAGATTCACCGTTAAGGACTTTGTACACGATGATTGACGATTACGAGTATATGCCTTTCCGTCAATTACCGTCGGACTGTGTCTGAAGATATCGGTGAAATCTTTACAAAGATATTTATTTAACTTCCGGTAGATCCACTTACATGTTTACGCATGATATACATTATTGAACGTTAGAAAAGCTTTCGATGTCCATTATAGTGTCACGTTTTAATGTTTTTCACCGAGAACTTTAGTGACAGTCGAGATTTTAAATTGTGCAATATAGGCGATGTTTTTCTTTTACCTTCATCTGTGAATCGTATTGAAACGTATCAATTTGTCGCTGATCATACGTTATTCGCGAACTTGGCCGAAATTCGATTGGCACTATTCCTATAGCTCTAACGACGAGGATTAAACTTCGTGACAATGTAAGCGAAGCAACAGGTTTTTTGCCGAGAAACTGGCGATGACCTCCTGTTTGAGTACTGACTAGTGCATTTAGCATCTCGTATGTAATTGTTGTACGCGTTTCGCGTTAGCTTATTTTCGCAAATGTGGAAAACTGGATGGCATTTTGATAAATAATTAAAATACAGAAATGTTAAAAGTTGACATTAGGAATAGTACATTATGCATAGAGCGGACAATGTAGTTTTTCTATCGTTGCACTTTTTTATATCGAAATAAATATTTAGGCATTTTGATGAAAATGAAAGTAAAAGCAAATTTAATGCTAAATAAGAATAAGAACATAAAGCTTCGCAAAGTTTTATTATGTGACATACAATTTTAAAAGCAGCAATTTATTATTTTATAATTTTCAATCATTGTATAATTTTCCAAATGTTACAATTTTATAAGTAATTCTTCTTTTTAGATATTGAGGTTTTTATTTCTAAAAATATGCATGCTTTGACATTTCATGCTAAGCTAGCGTGAAAAGAATGCCGGTATTATCGATAAGAGGATGTAAGAGATGCATAAACGTAATACCAGATTTAAACAAGTACTAATGCATGGAAAAGTTGTTTAAAATGAGATCATTTCTTTAATAGCATGTCATAACTTTTGTTAGTCGTTTACGTAGCGTGTCGTGTATCATCATTAGATCAATTTTAAAACCAGGATGTAGAAACACACTTAAAGGATACTGCACCGTAGCTGCGGTCACTTTAATCCTATAATGTGAATTATCCTGTGCGCAATCTTTGCGCATGCGCATAACGTGTCCTCCTGAAAAGAGCGAAAATTTAAATCATTCGTTCAGATTTTTCCACAATGAAATTTAATAGACAATTAATATCATGAATTCGTAAGTGTAATGTACGGATTTATGCATAGTTATTTGTTATTTTATTTATATTTTTGCGCCATGAATTATATATATGAAACAGTAATGATGTATAGCAGTGAAGCTGTGAAATATGAATCTTATTATAAATGAAAAAAATATAATAAAAATGAAAAGTAATTAAATGTTCTATGAATTATAGTGTTCGCAACAATTTAGTTAGCACTTAGTTGGGTAAACTGATACTTTTATCAAGAGTTGAATCAAGTGCACATATTTTTACTTAATCGCAAAGCCCGCGAATTTTTGAAACTTAAAATTTCTTGTAGCTACTCAAAGCTATTATACAATCGTTGCGAAAGGGAGAAAGGTGATCGAACTGTATAGAAAACGCAGTACGCATAACGTAAGCACAAATCGCGTTTCTCGTTTAGTCTCTAGAATATGTATCAGGATCCGGCAATTTACGCGCAACGCATCGAAATGATGTTCAGCTCGGATTTACCCAACGGTTAGCATGATTCACTTTCCATCACTGTATTCTGAACTTTACTTCTCGGCACCGAGATCGAAACAACAGTTAAGGTACTGTTCGTAAGTAAAACACGAGACTGTTATTCTAACTCGGGATATAACTGCGAGATAAAGAAAAGTAAGGAGATAAAAGGTAGAGGTTCGAAGAAGGACAGAGAAAGAGTTGGAATTTTTTTAGGGAAAGTCCATGCGTTTGTTGGTCGAGAGTGAGGCCACGTTCTCGTTGTCGTTCATTCAAGAATTACGTAAGTTAACGTCGCATCTGCTCGTTGTGCTTGTATGCCAGTTAATGCTCGGGCAAACGCTAAAGATTCCCATTGATTGGTGCCTGAAAAGGTGGCACAGTGAAGCTTCATCGTAACTGTGGTCAGTCAAATAAATTTCAAGCAAATCGATGAATCAATTCAACCAAACGTAACCCCTTTACTTTCATTGTCTACGCCATCTTCCAAATATAATAAGTTCAACTTTTCCAAAAATCATTTCAAGTTCACGCAATCGTGTTTAGTATTTACATTCGTAGTAAATGTAATAATGTATATAATCGTTTCTACGAATAATTAAAATAGACTCGTGTGGCGAACTTGATTGTGTCGTTTGGCACAGCTGTGTAGATAAACACGCTCGCATTTATCAATTGATTGAACGAATAGTTTATGCATATTTGTATGTTTGTTAAATACGGTTATCATGCTGTTTAAAAGAAGCAGGAGGAAGTGTATACATCGTTCGTCGATCTCGATAGCGAATCAATTGAGTTGGAAGCTAAGTGTTCAATCGTCGCGACATGCATTATAGGTGACCAATTAACCCTTGCTTTGCACTGCGGAGTCGCATGTACAGTCGAATATGAATGATTTGTTTGGTTAGGATTGTGAAATTTTTTTAGATACCAAATTTTCAAATTTTATGGTTTGTACATTTCCAAGTTTTTTAATTTTTTAATTTTCGTGTGTTTAAATTTTCAGAATCCCCAAATTTCATAATTTTCAAAGTTCCTAAATATTCAGGGTTCTACGCTTAAAATTTTCAAATTTTCAAATTCTCAAAATTTCCAAATTTCTAAACCTTCCACTTCCTACACTTCAAATTTTCAAAATCTCAAAATTTCAAAAATTTCAAAATTCTCAAATATCTAGGGTTCCACGCTTGAAATTCCAAAATTTCTAATTTCTCAAAATCTCAAAATTTCTAGATCTTCCAGTTCCTGTACTTCCAAATTTCAAAAATCTCGAAATTCCCAAATACACAGGGTTCCACACTCAAAATTCTAAAATTTCCAATTTCTCAAAATCTCCAAATTTCTAGATCTTCCACTTCCTCCACTTTCAAATTTCCTCAATCTCAAAATTTCCAAATTTTCAAAATTTCCAAACATCCAAGGCCCCACACTTAAAATTCTAAAATTTCAAAATTCTCAAAATCTCCAAATTTTTAGATCCACTTTCTACATTTCCAAATTCCCAAAATCTTAAAATTTTCCAAAATCCCAACTCTCCAAAGCAGTAATCCACGAAATACTCTCCTAACCCATATATTTCTGAAAATCGATCCATAATAGATCATGACCCAAATGATCGACGCCTTCCAATACCGTTTAACAGATCGAAATAGAAAAAGACTTGTTTTGTCGCCACGGAATTTAAACGTTCGAATCCGCTCGAAGAACTCGCGAAGGAGATCCTTTCTCCTTCAAAGTCCGCGTCGATCGACCTTGGACTCGGAAACGTTATGTTCGTTTTCACTTGTTCGAATGTATAATTCGCGTTATGTAAATCTCGTCATATTACCTACCCGATGCTTCGCAATGCAGCAATTATCCTCGTAATTTCTCCTGAATCATCCACGAGTTGTTCTACTCCTACGACAATTGCTATCGTTATCAGGAACGTTGCTAATCACTGGTCTTGATATGCCTCGTAGACGATAAGAAAAATCATACATCCTGAGATAGATTCTAATTATCACATTCGATTATTTGCCTGAAAGTAGATTCACTCTGCCATTTCTTCTTTGGTCAGAATCAACGATTAGATATTAACTTGAAAATTATATGTACTTTTATCTGTTCTCCTGCGAGATCTAATTCAGACATTTTCTTTTTAGCTAGTTTATATACTAACCCTTTGCACTCGAAGGAAATTTGACTGTTTGCAAACAGCAACTTTAAAACTTAATTAAAAAATTAAATGAATTCCCTTGAGGTTATTCTTTCTCTACTAATAATTTGCACTGTTGTTTATTTAATTATGTTTATAAATCACACGTGTCATATTATAGAATCAGTTAAAAAATGCTTATTTCAAATTATTGTATTAAATAGAATGGTGACTGAGAGTCACCCCTCAAGCGCAAAGGGCTAACTCTTACAGACATCAATTCATATCTTCTGCAGTTTACATTATTTTTATGAATAATAATGGTAGTTTGTAAAAATATATGCTTTAAAATAAACTTATTGAAAGAAGTTTGATTATT